AACGCTGATGTTCGAGGAACAAACATGACCTTTCCATCCTTCTAGGAAACATACATAACACTCACTACTACTTATTTCTTCAAATTCCAATCTGAACATAAAATCTTGTTAATTAATGTTTTTAGATCCGCAAACAGAAAAATGTCCATCCTTCAGATGGGTTCTACAACATTCCCGAAACTCACATTTCTAATCTATGGAAACAATACAAACAACTATAGACGTAAATTAGGATCCTAAAATTCATTCTAAAATAAGGTTATGATTGTGAAAACTTGACTAGCGAGTAAACTATAAAAAGAAAGACTAGGTTATGATTGAGTATAGAAAATAAATGTTTATTGATGATTTTAGAATGAATACAAAGAGTCTTTGATAACAATGGAGATTGCATATAGGTTTTCTTTGGAAGAATTCGGATTCCTTGTCCTTGACTTCTCCTTACTCTTTTATAGATCTTTTCTCTAAATCGTAACGATGGCATGATCTCCATCATGGATCAAGTGACTTTATGATGGTCTATGACTTTGATATATTTGACTTTTCTTACCGAGCTCAGTGTATTCGACGTGTATACTTTGGGACGGGCTATGACCTTCGTGGGTCTTTGTTTCATTCATGGGTTTTGACGATGATTGCACTTAGACTTTATTGCATTTTGATTGAAATCTCATACCGGATCTGGAGCAGAATGAGACCTGGCTCCAACAAGAACTTTGTAAAATATGCACCAAACTTTTTGATCAGTTAGTAAAAATCTAAGATAGCGTATCGGTTGAGAAGGATCTGCTCTCATTAAAAATCATATTTTAATATGGTTTAATCTTCATCTTGTAAATATGGATATTCGGATTTAAAATTTTGTAGTCATTAGAAATGATGAAAAAGCAAAAAAAAATCTCATTTTTTATTAAATATAATATCTAAGAGCATTATCGGTAAAAGACTCAGCTGAATATCTCAAAATATGTACTTAGGTAAGAGCATAAGCAACAGTAGATGCTTATATAAGAGTATCTCACACAAATGTTTTAATTTTATTTTTTAAATATTAAGTAAAAAGCAAATTGGATGAATAAAGAAGTGACATTTAAGAGAAAACTATCTCCATTTTTGTTTTTAAGCTTCTGTGCAAAGAAATTTTGTACACTCATTTTCTGTTTGTAATTAATTTACTCACAAAATATTATTTAGAAACTGCTGTTGAGACTGCCCTAAAAACATTATTTCTAAGAGATTTTATTGGGTATCTCAGAAATAATCTTGTTATTATTTGGTTATTTGAAAAAAACAGATGATAATAGACATTTCTTTAGTGATCTATCTGTTAATACATCTTAATCAATCCACCTTCATCAATATCACTCACTTCTTATTTATTTTATTTTTTGGTCAAAACTCACTTCTTATTTAATGAAATATATTTTGACTAACATTAGAGTGAATTTATGGAACTGTACACAACTTATGTTAATTCGGTGACATATCGACATGTCTCAATGATGGTCGCACAAGGTAAAAAGCAAAACCAAACAGTACAGATGTTAAATCAGAAGAGATAGGCCTACTAAATTTTCGTAGCTTTTCTATATATAATTTATTAAATGAAAAGAAGACACAGATTTATGATTAATGATCACTGTAGAGAAAATATCTTGGTAATTTTAACCCACAAAGTGAAACCTGTTCCCTACCTTTACCATTTCTGAGGCATTTCCAACAATGACATTAAATAGGATGTTGAAACTATATCTAATTTATTGTTTTGATATTATAATTTGTTGTCTTCTACTCAAATGATATCAAATTTTATAGCAATAATAATAATATTGTATATTATTTAATATTTCATTTTAATTTTTTTAAAAAATTATTATTTTTAATTAATAGATAGTTATTTAACACATTTAGATTATTATTTATATTTTTATTATTTGTGAGTGATAATGATAATAGTCATTTAGTGATTTATTTTGAACATACAAATTATTATTTTTTAGTTATGTAAAATTAATTAAAAATAAAATTAATAATATATTTATGATTAATTATAAATTTAATAGTAACTGGACTATATTTTAAACCAAACATAACAAAATATGTATTTAAAAATTTGATGTGGTAAATAGAATTACATCAAATTTAGTGTAATAGTATTCATATTACACCAAATTTGATAGGATAATGTCAATTTTGGTGTTTTGTTAAAGATAAAATTATATCAAATTTGATGTTTTAGTGTCATGTCAAAGATGGCCTAAGAAAAACGTAAAATAAATGAAATTATATTAACATCTAACTTTTACCAGTTTCACTAAAAGTTAAATGCTAATTGCTCTATATAATGCTATCAAGAAATTCCTGATACTTTTAAATAACTTGGAAAAATATCGAATTATTTAGGTAGATCAAGTAAACACATATAGAGGGTATTCAATTAGATGTTTAGATGGATTTTGTTTGTAATAATTATTTAGATAATTTGAAAATTTGATACGAGTTTTCCTAAACCACTTTAGAATCTCAAGTAAAACCATGAGATTTGAAGTTCTATTTAATTAACTATAGAACTCCACTAAAACATTTTTTAACGTTGATTTATTGTGATATTGTAATTATGAGAAATATTACATAGACAATTCGACAACCGGCAATACATGTTTTGTGATGATCTACATCTAATTGTATCCCCTGAACCATCCTATGAAGATTCATGTCTGGTTTAGTTTACTTGTACTATGTTGAAGATCTCTTTCATTTGTAATCTATATCATTGTTTAATAAATCATTGTCGTCGGGATTGAAACATAGACTTTCTAGTATAGAAACATTAATGAATTCTAAGTCAAACCACTGAACTAAAGAGACTTCCACTCATTCAAACATTCTAAGAACTCTTAAAATCTACAAGTTATTATTTTAATAACAGTAGATTTCAAAATATTTTATTAAGTGATAAATTTAATAACACTAGATTTTTTTTAAATCACATTTGAGTAACAATGAATTTGTAATTTTAATATAAATCACTTCAAATTACTAGTTGAACACACACTCCTCGGCCAATAAGATAACTTTAATAAGAATAATTTTGAATATAAATATTTGAATAAGTTTAGATAATGTGAATATTATAGTTTAAACTTAAATAGAATGCATAGTTTTAAATTTAAATATTCTATTTTGACTATATATCTTTATTTAGATATTTATAAAGTTTATTTAACACTCAATTTAGTATTGTTCAGTTTAAATATCCAAAATATTTGAAATAAAGAAATATTTAGATTTTATCCTTTTAAATTCGATTGGGTCAGTTAGGTTTTTAGGATTCTGGGTAATTTGCCAGGCCTACATGTCATGATGCTTTAAAAAGCAGTAGAAATAAATAAGAAGAAAAATTGACTGGGTTCGGTAAAATTCAATGCCACTAACAGAGTCAAATGTTGAGACTTCCGACATGTCAAATTTAAATATTGTTTTTTTACATCATGGCATTGCTTTAGCGCGTCAGATACGATAACCTGACAATTATGTCAAATTTATACAATGTCTTTTTCTTTTTGCTAAATTACAAATTTATACAATGTCGCATTTTCTGTCAGTTTTTTACCAAGCTATATTATATATATATATATATATATATATATATATATATATATATATATATATATATATATATATATATATATATATATATATATATATATATATATTATGTGAGTGTGTGTGTGTGTCTTAGTGAAATGAATGCATCCTCAAAATCCATGCTCCTGGAAGTAGGTTCAACATTTTAACTCAGGCATGCATCCATACAATTGGATTTAGCGAATGACAAAATACAATCGAGATTGAGTAAGAAGCTTTATGTACATTATGTATATCAAAACCTGATCTTGAAGCCATGTAGTGGTTATTAGGAAAATGACAGTGTTAGTAACATATTCCCTCCAAAAAAAATAAATTTTTTTAGTAACATATTCCCTCCAAAAAATGTTTCAAAAAAATGATTTTTTTTTTTACATTTTCAATGTATTATTGAATGGTAAATTGTAAGTTTTAAAAGTTATACTTATAGTTATTGAAATTCTAGTGATTAAAAATTATGAGAAATAGTTAGTTACAAAAAAACAATGTATTGATAATCAAAGTTTCATATGTTTTTTTAATATTCGTAAAATTTTCGAAACATACATCTTTTTGAGATATAGGGAGTATAATGTTAGTTCTATTTTTCTAATCGAGAGTGGGTAAGAAGTCTTATGTACAGTACGTATATATGATATAACGCAACCTTTAGAACTCAAACACATATAATGAAGGAATGAAACTAAATTAACTACTTAGGGTTAATTAAATACTATTAAACAGATCCCACTATAAAGTGTCTCTGATCTCTGGTTATTGTCCTGCTTTGTGAAAGCATAACAAGAAAATCTATTTTGCAAATTTCATAATTAGTTTAGTACGACATAAGATATGTAATCATATAGTTATGTTCCCAAAATGTCTCTTAAAATACTTTTTTTTTTGTAACAGTCTCTTAAAATACATTGATCCACATATATATATATGGATATCTCTAGATTTCTCAAATACACAAGAAAGTTGCTACTAGCATAGTTTGATATTTAAAAGGAAATTTAAGAATCTTTATGTTTTATAACTGGTACGATGAACCCTATACTTGCATATGAACTGCTCTAGACTTAAATTTTAAGCTCTCAGCGTGGCCTGAATTGGATCCCTCTTTTTCCACATTGTCATTCTCTAACTAGCTAGTCTGATCTTAGATGAAATTCATTTTGTACTATTTCTTGTAAAAAATTTAATGAAAACTAGTATAATAAAATATAGATATTCATGAAAGTGTTCGTAAATTAGCATCAAAACATAGAGACAATTACAAGAGGCAGTTGCTAGATAAGCTAAAAAAACCCTAATCCCAAAGTTCAAGAACGCCACAGAGCCCTAATTCAAGAACACTCCAAACACACAAATGTGACTAAAATTATTAGTAAATTGTCTTCTTGAATCTTAAGAAGTGAGAAAAACATACAATTTATTTAACAAAGCATCTCAGATAAACGATCAACATCAGGATAAAGAAACAAAGATGAATCACATAAAAGTAAGCAAACACATCATTAAACAAATTTTCACTCAGAATCATTAATAACTCCACAAGCTTTCTCCCTCGGAATTCTCCGGAGAATCATCGGACGGAGGAGATCCCATCCACGGCGGAGCCACCATCATCCCCTTAGCCATCTCCTCTAGCAAACCAGGCATGTTCAATAGCTCTTCTTCATCCACAAACTCCATAGCTGAAGATCCCACAACCTCGGCAACTTCTTCAACCTCTTTTTCACCTCCCTTCACTGCCGCATTTGCTGCCGCAGCCGCCGCCCCAACCGTAGCAGCCGCCGTGGCCGCAGCCATTCGGATATGAGCTGCTGAGGAGGAAGCCGGAAGAGGGTAACTCCCGACAGACTCAGGGAAGTTCAAGACGGCTTCTTGGCCTTTAAGAGCTAAAGCCGCCACGTCGTAAGCGGCGGCAGCCATCTCAGGCGTTGGATAAGTCCCAAGCCATACACGTGTCGTCTTCTTAGGCTCTCGGATCTCGGAGACCCATTTGCCGCTCCGAAAACGGATCCCACGGTAAACCGGATGCTTTTTCCGGCGAGAGATAGAGCTGGCCTCATGAGTGGCCATTAGTGTATCATTATCGTTACTACTTGTAATAGAAGAAGCAGCCGCAAAAGAGACAGTAGCAGTGGTGGTTGTAGCAAGTGGACAAGAGTGTTCCCACGTGGATGAGCCAGAGAGACTGTAACCGCACGTGCGAGCTGGGACAATAGTAACTGACGATGAAGAAGCTTGGCTTATAGCGTTAGGTTCAGTGTAAGGATCTTTAGGGTCAGCCATATGTATATATATATTAAAGTTTGTTTATATATAGAGAGAGATATATGTAAAACAAGAAACTGTCTGTGTTACAAAAAGAAAATGTAAGATACGAAACGTTAGGGTTTTAGTGAAAGAAATTAAGGTTTTAAATATGAGATAAAAGTGCGTGGCTATTGCGTGGGGCTTCCCTAAAGTGTGTTTTCTTTGTGTTTGTGTTTGGTGAGGTTAACTATAGCTGTAAAAAGGTATTTAGAAAATTCCATCTATTTTTCGTTCATTATTTTTTATTTAAGTTTTTATTGGTAGAGTCAATTATTATAGATGTGTCGACATGTATGAGGTGCTGGGATCATTTTTTGACCATTATTCATTGTTGAGGACGAGTGACAAAAACTCTGTTTTCATTGACATATACGAGAGAGAACAATCAATGTATATTATGTTCAAAATCGTTTACAGATATAAGATATAATTTCGACGTGTGATTCATGTTTTGTACTTGCGGTGGGTAAAATGATCAAATTTGCGATTTGCAGATAGAGATGTCTATATGGATGCTCAAAAAAAGGTCTTGGATGGAATGGAATGTAAATTAAAGTGATAGGCTTAGGAGAAACTTGTTTTGGATCCTAGATTAATAGGCCCATTGGCTTATTATTTTCATTGGGCCACCTTATGTTTGTAAACACATAGTATGTAGTTATCGACAATGATATTAATTTTCTTTTTTGAATACAACAATGTATTTTGAGAGATCAATTTATTTTATTACAAGGGTAGGCTCACCCTACGGACGGAATGTAATTAACTTGTGATCTAAGTTTTTATTTTCTTATATGATTTTATGGTTTGTGATTTAAGTTTGTATTCGCAACAGATGTGAATAATAATGATTTTTGTGTTTTAACAAATTTTTAGTGATGAAGAATATTATATTAATTTTACTTGTTTGTTTATTTTTCTGACTTGTTTTTGGTTTTATTATTTGTTGTCATATATATATATATTTTATGACATAAAACTATTTTAGTAATTATATTTATTTTTGGTTATGTTTTTATAATGAGATTACATTTTTAGATCATCTTCGGCTATATATAACTAAAATTATTTATTTTTTATTAATTTTGTTAGAGATTATAAGTTCGTATGAACATGACATGATTTTCGTGATTAAAATGGCATACATTCTCTTAAATGTTTGCTCAATTTTTTATACATAGTAAGTAGATTTTAGTTTTACTGTTGTGGTTAGGTTTAATACTCAAAATATTGATTGTTTTATATTTTTAATGTATTGAATGTACCTGTATTTTTTATTTCTTTTACATATTTATTTTTAAATTAATATTTTAAATAATTGAACATGAATAATAGAAAATCATTTGTGTAAGAAATCAGAATCAAAACATAATATTATTTATATATTTTTATATTAGAAGATTAAATAAACAACATTATCCCAATAACTTATTAGGTTTTCAAAAATAAATTCATTGGTTACTTTTTAAAAATAATGGCCTCCTTATATACAATTAACTTATTATTTTATCCAATTAAACTTTTGGATTATTTTATATAGTTTCTTTTAAATATTGTTTTTAGTAAATAAGAAAAGTAAATAATAGCTCGACAGTGAAATTATTTTCCCTAAATTTTGGTAGATAGTAATAACAAATTTAATAAATGTACTATACAATCAATATTAATTAAGATTTTCTTATAAAATATTATTAATCAAAATAGATAAGATATCTGTAAATATCATATTTTTGGAATGTGTACTATATCTTCATAATATTATCCTAACCTCTTCTTCCATATTGGCAAAATGGATGACCTTTGACTGTGTCGTATTACATGCGTACTATTTCTTTATCTAAACGCTCCCTAAAATCCGAACCGCTGCTTGTGTGGCTGTTCGGTATGCCATTAGAGCATCATTAAGGTTCAGTTAGTCATCTAGGAGAGCGTCTCAGTTTGACATCCCCCCCCCCCTTGAAAGCCTAGTGGTGTCAGCTAATTTTGCTAGCAACCTTGGTTTCTCGAAACTGAGATACAAATCATTACTCTGCAAGATGAGCAGATAAACTATCAAATCCACTTTGTTGTGCCAAAGCTCAAACCCCATATTAACATATGAAATTATCTTAAAAGCATGACGATGAATGAACATTACACTCTGATTTTATGCCTAAGACATATACTAAGATTTATATTAAATTATTTAATAGCATTTGCAAGGAAGAAATATGATATTTAAATGAGGGTGAGTAAGACCAACAAAATTGTTTAGTTGACAAAGAAAAAGTCATAATTAGGTCATTTGATCGGTCAAAAAATTATTGTGTTTGATTATGTGTCATCAGAGGTTAAACAATCCGGCCATTTTGTTAGTAGTGATTTAAACACAGAAGCAAACATAATATCTGTCTAAAAATTATTTAATATACTATTTTTAAAGATAAGCAATACGTGGTTTGCAAGTTTTTAAAACAGAATTTGATGATGCGTTAGAAAATTGATTCCTTTCTTGATATGGTGACAGTGTAGAATTAGGAAAAAAATAAGCAATTGCAGGAAAAATATATAAATTACTTTTTTTTTTTTTGAAGAAGAATGGAATTAGTGACATCATATGCTGAGGTGGGTGAAGGAGAAGAGAGTTTCTTCTTCTTTATATATAAAGATATTTCATTCCCATTTTTTTTCATGTTTACCATTTCGAACCGTATTAAATCATGCGATTGTGAATGAGATTTTTTATACAGAGATGGTGTTTTCTGATATATTAAACCTGGTTTAATTTCTTTCTTTTTTTTAACGTCTGATTAATTATACTATTACAACGATGAGAATATTACATAGACGATTTTACAGCCGACAATTCTACCATCTTGTGAGAATACACGCCTGACTGCATCACTCCGAGCCGTCCTATGAGATCCATGTTCGATGGTACGCCCTGCACCAAGCTGAAGATCTCTTGTAACTTGTTTCTCCATAATCTGCATAATTTGTTTTTTCTGGGGTTTGAATCCCAGACCTCCGGATGTAGAAGCATTAATGAACCCTTAGTTAAACCACTGGACCAATGGGGCTTCCACAACCTGGTTTAATTTCAGAACCTCTTTCTTTTTCTCTGTTTTTTTTTAAACACTTCTTTTCTCTGGGTATGCTATGATATTTCCTGGTTAAGATCGGTTAATTTTTTCTTTTCTTTTTTTTGAGATCGGTTATTATTCCTAAGCATGTTTTATTTTATCCGTGGGGCATCGATCATTATCCTTGAGAAATAAAAAAAAAAGTTCTTTTGAGGATTATAGCTAGGGCTGAGCAAATAAACCGAATCCGATCCGATGAAAATGAATCCGAACTGATCTAAATATCGAATGGATCTTGTTTTATGGTATTTCGGATTATGGATATTATCTGAACCGAACCCAAAATTAAATGGATATCCGATAGAATCCAAAAATTCAATTTTTTTAATAAGAACGTGTACCGAACATGAACTTAATTCTCAATGTATATCCAAAATATTTTAAGATATTACTAAACATTTAAAATAATTGTATATTACATGAAGTTTGATGGTTGAAGGTGGCAACTGAAACTTGAAATTTTTAGATTAAGGTTTTGTTATTATTGAATAATATTTCTCATTTTTTAAGAATTTGGTTTTCGTTTTATGCTTTCATTTATTTGGTTTTCTTTTTATTAATAACTATGTTACCTTTCATTGATTTTGAATGATCAAATTTGATGTTTTTTCTTATTTTTGAATCAATTTTTCTTATGTTTTGATTACAAAGTAGGTACAAATCAAGTATTTTTAAATCAAAGAACTGATTGGGACCCAAATCCGAAAGTATAACGGGTTGTACCGGTTCTTTAAAGATTTACTAACTCCAACCTGAATTCGATAGAATCCGAACAGATCCAAAACCGAACTTTCAAATAATCTGAATGGGACTGATTTTGATAAACCAAAAAAACTGAGATCCGATTGGACAAAACCGAAATCCAAATAGGATCCCGAATACCCATACCTAATTATAGTAATCATTCAATCACACATACATGATACAATAGTTATCAGTTATGTTTCCACATCATTGTAGCAGTATAACTAATTCCTAATATTCTTTATACCAAATAGTTAATATAACCAAAAGTAACATTACAAATAGAATTAACTGGATCACATTTTTAGAAGAAACGGGTCGGATACGTATCAAAATAACATTACAAAAAGAATTATCTGGATCAGTACATAAAGTCACTAGCTTGACACCAAAAGAAAAAAATATTTTAGATTTCCAATGAGGTTATTGTATACCTTGGTTAAGACTAGATGACACTTCCAATACATGAACCATAACCCACATGGGAATTATAGATAAAACTAATAATATCGTTTTGAATTCTGAATTCTGATTACTAATCAATATCTTAAGGAAAACATTTGTCCGCACTAGTATTAGCTTTATGTGATCCAGTTAATTCTTGAGCCAGACCATTTTGGCTGGTTATAGCGTTTTTTTCTTTGTCAAAGGCTGGTTATAGCTTTCATGAAAACTGTAAAGGTAGTTGGGAGAGACATTCTGTTTTGCATGTAAATCCTTTGTAAAAAGAACAGGTGCTCAAAAGCATTCGCTTTGAATAACTCCACATGGTGGTGTTTTTCTCTGTCGCAAACCACAAACATTTTTCTTTCTTTCCAACGAAAAATGTGGCTGTTATAATTCGATAGCATCATTATCAGAAAGGAAGAATAAAAAAATTATTATAACATATTTAGTAGACGGTTCTGATGAGTTTACTTAATTTGAATATTGTGGACACAATGGCATGCTTAGGTTGAACTCAAAGCAAATTTCAAAACAACAGTATCCAATTTTTATATATCTTTTATTTAAAAAAAAATGGTTCTAAAAGAGGAAAAGAACTGTGAATTACCGAGTCTAACACACATTTTATAAATATTTACTCAGTCAACCAATAGACTATACCAAAATTTGGAAATTAGAAAACCCCCTAGAACAAATAAATATTGAAAGCTTAACTAGTTTTTGATCCGCGCTTGGGAAGCGCGGATTTTGT